GGCCAAGCTCTGGCTGCTGTGGTCTGGGGAGTGACTCAGCAGATGGAAGATCCCCCTCCCTACTTTTCCCTCTCCCTGATGTTCTGCCTTTCTAATAAATAAATTTTAAAAAACAAAAACAACAACTTGGAGCTCTGTGTGGTGCTTGGGTAGGAATGAAGATAAACAGAACAGAATAAAGAGAGCCATGCAAACAAAGGAATTTATAGGGTATTATGAAAGTGGATCTCACATCAGTCGAAAAGGATATGGACAAGGTTTATAAATAGTATTGAGGCAATTAGCTAGCCAGTTTGCTTAGTGACTTGAAATACCAATCCCTACCACACAGGAAAATAAATGACTGGGCCCAGTGTGGTGATCTAGTGGCTAAAGTCCTTGTCTTGAATGCGCCAGGATCCCATATGGGTGCCAGCTCTAATCCCAGCAGCTCCACTTCCCATCCAGCTCCTTGCTTGTGGCCTGGGAAAGCAGTTAAGGACAGCCCATAGCCTTGGGACCCTGCACCCGCATGGGAGCCTGGAGGAAGTTCCTGGCTCCTGGCTTTGGATCGGCGCAGCACTGTCCGCTGCGGTCACTTGGAGAGTGAATCATCGGATGGAAGATCTTCCTCTCTGTCTTTCCTCCTCTCTGTATATCTCTGACTTTGCAATAAAAATAAATAAATCTTTAAAAAACAGAAAGAAAGAAAATAAATGACTAAGGGTATTTCAATAGCTAACTATAAAAACAAACATAATAGTACTAGAAAACATGAGAGAGTGTGTTTAAAATCTTAATTGAAGAAACAAAGTCTTCCCAAGTGAGACACCAAATCCAGGATATTACAGGAGATGTTTGCTTCATTCTCCAATGATTTGTGCACTTGTCTGCCAGCCTCCCCAGGACACGATAAGAGGATGGGTGCCACAGGGCAGGGCCCACACCCACCTTCCTAGTTAATCCATCTCTTGGTACACAGAAAAGGTTCAATAAGTTCTCATCAGAAAGACAGATTTAACTACATAGGAATTAGTAAGGTCTATACCAGAAGGTATAATAAACAAAGTTAAGAAATAAACAACATGGACCCAGTGCGGTAGCCTAATGGCTAAAGTCCTCACCTTGCATGTGCCAGGGTCCCACATGAGGACTAGTTTGTGTCCCAGTTGCTCCATCTCCCATCCAGCTCCCTGCTTGTGGCCTGGGAAAGCAGTTGAGGATGGTCCAAAGCCTTGGGACCCTGCACCCATGTGGGAGACCTGAAGAAGCTCCTGGCTGCTAGCTTCAGATGAGTTCAGCTCTGGCTGTTGTGACCATTTGGGGAGTAAATCAATGGAAAATGGAAGATGAAAGATAGTTCTTTCTGTCTCTCCTCTCTATAAACCTGACTTTTCAAGAAAAATAAATGTTAAAAATAAACAAACTCTTACAAGGGTAGGTCATTAGAAAAATGGGTATATAAATGATGGAACAAGGCGCTCTCAAGCCAAGCAAAGGGTAACATACAGAAAAAAAGAGCACAGCCTCTCAGATGAGCAGGAAAAACAAAAACTGAAACAGAAGCCATGGTACATTTGCCAGTCTGGTGAAACGGAACTCGATTAAGACACTTGGTTTGGCTAAGGTGTGAGGAAAGTATATCTATACATTAAGGGGTAGAGTCTTTGTTGGCCCAGACTTTCAGAACTATTTATTTTCATTTTTCTTTGAAAGGCAGCAAGATCGGTGGAAAATTTCCATCTGCGGGTTTATTCCTCAAATGGTTGCTATGGTTAGGGCTAGGTCAGGTCAAAGCCAGGAGCTGGGAATTTTACTCAAGTCTTCCAGGTGGGTGGTAGGGACCCAAGTGCTTGGACCATCACTTGCTGCCTCCTAGGGTGTGCACTGACAGGAAATTAGACCAAAAGTGGAGGATCTGGGATTCAAACCCTTGCATTTCAATATGGAAAGTGAGATTTCCAGGTCATATCTTAATCACTGCCTAAAAACCTATCCTATGATTATGAAATGGTAAGATGCTTAATATTGAGACTTGTTTCAAAATAATTCACCTTAGACAGGAGAAGGGAACTCACAGGGTTTGAGGATGAATATATCAGAATTTATGGGGTTTTTTTGTTTGTTTTTTTTACTCTTACATATCCTTGAAGCTTGAAGCTTTTATGAAAGTAAAATGAATGAGCCCAGTCCTCTTCTTACGTCTAGAAGGATGTGCAGCTTACGGTGAAGTCACTGCAGTGTTGCGGACCTAGGCAGTTAGTTCAGGGTCACAAACTTAGATGCCAAGTCCTACCTCCTCCACACCTCCATCCTGCCCATGTGGTTCTGCCCGACTGTGATGCTCACCTATCATCACCTGGAACCTGAGATGGGGCGCTATATCGCCTTGTTGCATAACCACCCCCCTCACAAATCCCCATAAAGGCCCATGATAGGGAGCGGCTCGCTCTCTTGGTTGAGTGCTTGCTGCACTCTGGCACTCCAACTCTGGGCCTCCCTTGCTTGCTCTCTGGCTTCTTGCAGACAGACTCTCAGGGCAGGTAGCCCCTGAACAAGGTCCATGAATGTCTGTATTCCTTACCCTCAATTCATTGCTTGGGTGAGTCAGTGAAGATGTTAATGCTGAGGTGCTTTATATTTCTAATGTGTGTACTTTCAAGAGTTCCAGGAGAGGTGAGACCTAGCAGTAGTAGAATATGGACACAGAAGCCAGGAAAAGGTGAATGTTTGCAGCTTTGTATGTCCAGGTTGTTTGCTGCATTTCTCTTAGGATAACTTATATTTCTGGGGAAGCTGGGACATAGCTCTTCAATTTAATGGATGGGTTTCATGGCAATTGCCATTTGTTCCTCTCAGGGTTTCAATTCAAATTGGATTGCCATTGGACTTGTCATTTTCTAGTGTGCCCTGTTATCACCAAGCTTGGCTAATAAAGACTCTTATTACATTCTAGACCTATCTGGCATGATCTCTCTCTCACCCCACAACAAGAGGTGAAGCGAGGCTGAGTGCAGCCTGACCTGGAACCGCCTCTGGGAAGGACAGGGGCCCATCCTTCTCCCTGGGGAAGCCTTGTGGGTCAGTAGGTGGGGCTAACCACCAGTATCAGAAAGGAGGTTTATCTATCATAGAAAGGGCTTGATGAGACTGAGACAGATGGATATCTGCAGGAAGTAAACAAAACAAAACCTGGAACAAGATACATATGGCAGTTAAGAAGAATGCACCTGCTGAAGACTTGTTTGAAACATGTGCTAGTGACTGCTTTTGAAGAAATGTCTTTGATATACTTTATTTGGAAGGGAAAGAGAGAGATCTGAATATTTCTTCCCAAATACCTGTAATAGTCCGGGTGGGCCAGGCCAGAAGCTGGGAACTCCATTCAGGTCTGCCATGTGGGTGTCAGGGACCCAGTTACTTCACTGAGCACCTGCTGCCTATCAGGGTGAGCACCAGCAGAAGGCTGGATCAGAAGCCGAGCAGCTGAGCCTCCACCCAGGCACTCTGACAGGAGATGCAGAAGTCCCAATGGGCAGCTCAAGTGCTGCACCAAATGCCCATACATCAACACTATTACTATTTTTAAAAACAAACTTTCATTTCATTTCATTTGAGAGAGAGAAACAAATAGAGATCTACTTACTGGTTCATTCCCCAAATGCCCATTGGGCTAGGTCAAAGCCAGAAGCCAGGAACTCTATCCAGGTTTCCCAGGTGAGTGACAAGAGCCCAAATACTTAGGACATCCTCTGCTGCATTAGCAGGGGAGGCAAATTTCAAGTGGAGCAACTGGGACTTGAACTGGCACTCCAAAATGGGATGCCAGTATAGCAGGCAGTGGCTTAACCTGCGTGCCACAGTGCTGACCCCCCAAGTGCCATCTTAACTGTTTCTCTGTACTCCCAGCCCTCGTTCAAAGTTCTTAGTCTAAGGGAACTTCTAAGGGGACAACCTGAGAATAACACATGGACACTCCTATAAATCTCCACGTGCAAGTGATTAGGGAAACCAAAGCAGAGACACAGAGGATTCCTAGCTCCTCCTGAGGCTGTTTAATTTTGGCAGGCTGGAAAAGTCTGGGACTGTAAGAAAACGTAGCTGCCCCCAGGAACTCAATCACACCAGGTACAAGAATCTAGGTGGGGAGAGGCCAGAAGGAGTAAGGGGCAACCAGGGCCCTTGGCCCCCTGTCGAGCTCCCATGCTGGCACTATGAGCTGGACTCCAATGCCCCACAGCTTTGCATCCCCCACATTCCCACAGCCTGCTATCAACTTCCCTTGAAGTACAGTGCGGAGGCCTGACATACAACTAGAATTCCAATGCTCATGGAGAAGGGCTATGCTGACAGAGCTCAAAATAACCCTAAAATAGTTTCAGATAAACCACCAAACCTGTTAGTGGTAGATAAACCATCCTGTTAGTGGTAGAACAAAAATCCATCAATTTGGACATTCTAAGACAAAACAGGCCTTTTAGATGCAATCTGGGATATAAGATGCTTTTTTTTTTAAGCTCATTTACATTTAAAAAAATTTCATTTTATGACAGTTTCATAGGCTCTGGGATTCCCCCAATATAAGATGCTTTTGCTTTTAAAATATGATGAGTAGTCCAAAGCCATAATCTCTCTCCTCCATTTAAAAAAAGATTTACTTATTTATTTGAATGGCAGAGTGTTAGAGAGAGAAGAAAAGACAGAGACCTTCTATCCACTGGGTTACTCCCCAAAGGCCAACAACAGATAGGTTTAGGCCCGGCCAAAGTCCATCCTGGTCCCCCTTGGCAAGGGCATCTACTGCAGACATCACTGCTCCTTTCCTGGCCACATCAGTAGGAAGCTGAATCAGAGGCAGAGTAGCCAGGACTCTTCAATATGGGATACTGGCCTCATAAGCAACAGTTTAACTTACTGAGCCACAAGACAGGGCCCCACTCTCTCTTGTCTACCAAGACACGCCCACAGATGGCAGATAAGAAAGAACAATAGCTGTTCAACTTGATACACATGCTTCTTACCCACATATTCTGAGAGGAAGACGACAAAGAACGGAGTGACCAGGTCATTAATTCCCTGGACATACCCACTGGCAGGATGTCGGATGGCCCAAATAAAGAGAATTCTTTCAAAGATCTAGGAAAATGAGAAAGAAAGAAGATAATGGGTGTTAATTCAAAGGACACACTCCCTCCCTCCATTTGGGTTCACCATAATGAATGCACCTCAGGGTCTGTGCAGAGCTTTCAAGAAAATCTTTAAACATAGTGGACAAAGGATATTCCTAAGCGCCAAAGCTGTCTACCACACTAGCTGTTTTAAAGTGGGCGTAGATGCTTCTCCAACTTGATTTTGTCGGTATATGGTCACTACAACACAAAACTGAGAAGAGGAAAAGGTAGTGACACAAATGACTTAGACAAAGGCTTGCTATGGGGATGTCACTAATTTAAGCCACCGCATTCTCACTTGTGGATTCTGTATCTCTATTTCCGAGCACAAGATATCAGAACTCTCTAGTTCCGTTGTTTTTTTGCTAAGCCTTTTTCTGTCATGATGGTATTCAGAGAGAAAACCCTTTCTCTAGTACCCCATCATCCCCAAACAAAGGAAGGAGATCTGGATTTAGTTCTGACTTAGTGTGACTAGGAACAAGTGGCAGACTTCATGCAGGAAGTAGCTTCCTATACCAGATGCAGCTCTGACATTCATTGCGGATAGGAAATCAAGCAAACCAGATCCTGAAAGTTTAGAATTTGAGAACAGAGTAGCCAGAAAAGGCTCCACATGGAAGGTCTTTGGGGTTAAGTACATACATCACAGGAAGTCAAAGGGTTAGGCTGGGGACAGAGGAATATCTTTAATGGCCCCTGTCTGGTCCCACTCAACTGCTGCTTTTATTACTCTCTGAACTCTCCTTGTCCTCACCCTCAATCTCTTGCCCTAAGGGTACCCACGGCCTTACTTCATTCCGCAGACCACAATGTCTAGGCCTGGCCAAGCTTGAGACCAGCTTTGACTGTGCTGCCTCATATCTCTGAAACCACACAAGAGGAATGGCAGAGGTGATGGTGAGCACATGCAGGTGAGACAGGAGAACAGAGTGGCTCCACACTGTGTGCAGTCACATTGTAGAGGCCCTTTGCTAGCAGGTGCAAGGGGAAAAAAAACCTCCCAGGGGTCCAAGAGAAAGGAAATACATGGTTTTGGAGATAGCTATCTAGTATAAACACAGCAAAGGATGTTTTCTTGCCACAGCATCATAAATACTAGTCTACACATATCTATGAGGTTTGCAAACCATGACTTCTGATAGTCAGTGTTACTCATACTTTACTCCTTGGCTGGCATTTTTCTGCTTAAGATGGGCCAGCACCATATTATAGAAGTTAACCCTCTACCTGTGGTACCAGCATCCTGTATGCTGCTCCACTTCCCATCCAGCTCCCTGCTAATGTGCCTGGGAAAGCAGTGGAAGATGGCCCAAGTCCTTGGACTCCCACATCCACAAGGGAGACTCAGAAGAAGCTTCAAGCTTTTGGTTTCCAACTTGTCCAGCTCCAACTATTGTGGCTGTGTGGGAAGTGAACCAGTAGATGGAAGATTGATCTCTCTCTGTAAATATGCCTTTCAAATAAAAATAAACAATTCTTGAAAACAACAACAACAACTAAACAGTAACTACTGCCTGCTGGCAGAAAAGGTGATTCAAACAGAGAATAAAGTCTGTGCTTCCATCTAAACATTCAGGTTCCACTTCCAGGAGAAATCTCTTAAACTACTGTGCCTACCTCCAAATTCAGAAGCATGCGCTTCTAAAGTAATAGTATCTGAACATCTCCACATTAAAATAAGAAGTGAGCAGGCCAAGCTGTGGAAACAGCATGGGTCTTTAGCTTCCTCTGAGAAGAATTTAACAGGTGAAATAACGGCATCACTCTCAAAAGTTTCTTTACGCTAAAGGTAGGTCAAGAGAAATTCCAGCCATGAAGATACCTCTATTTAAGCAGAAGTATGAATATAATACAAAATCAAATAGAAACCATTTCAGTATTCTTATCACAATCCTCCTCTATGAGGACTGATAGCTAAATTCAGAGAGCACCAAAAGAAACCCCAGGGCTCAAGAGTGTCCTGCTAATGCTGCCTCGCTGAGACCTCCCATGTGCTTCACTAACTTGTTCTGAAAATAGCTCTAGTAAGGCTTGCATCATGCTACAGTGGTATCTTAAACCTCTGCCCACTCCCACCTTCTGGTCCCACAAGTCTCCTGGTTCTAGTCTCAGCTGTTCCACTTCTAATCCAGTTCCCTGCTAATGCACCTGGAGAAGTAGTAGAGGATGGCCCAGGTGCTTGAATCCTTGCCTCCTAGGGGAGACCAGGATGGACCCTCTGGCTCTTTGTTCGTGGTTCAGCCTGGTCCAGTCTTGGCTACTGTGGCCAATGGAGTGAGTCAGCAGATGGATTCTCTGTCACCTTTCTCTCTAATTCTTCCTTTCAAATAAATAAGTCTTTAAATATTCATATAGTAATTCCACTTCTGAATACATAGCCAAAAGAATTTAAAACAAGGGCTCAAACAGATGTTTGTACACCCACATTAATAGCAGCATTATTGGGCCCAGAGCGGTGGCGCAAGTGGTTAAAGGTCCTCGCCTTGCACACCAGGGATCCCATATGGGCGCCGGTTCTAATCCCGGCAGCCCCGCTTCCCTTCCAGCTCCCTGCCTGTGGCCCAGGAAAGCAGTCGAGGATGGCCCAAAGCTTTGGGACCCTGCACCCGAGTGGGAGACCCGGAAGAGGCTCCTGGCTTCGGATCGGCATAGTATCGGCCAGTTGCGCTCACTTGGGGAGTGAATCATTGGACGGAAGATCTTCCTCTCTGTCTCTCCTCTCTGTATATCCGCCTTTCCAATGAAAAAATAATAAAAATAAATCTTTTAAAAAAAAATAGCAGCATTATTTATAAAACCCAAAAGGTGAAAGCAACCAAAATGTCCATCATTAGATGATGGAATAAGAAAGAAATTCTGGCACATGCTCCAATATGGATAAACCTGCCCAATAATACGCTAGGTGAAAAATCCAATCACAAAAGGACAATTATGATTCCATTTGATATAACCTGATACAGTCAGATTCATAGAGATAAAATGCAGAAAGATGGCTGCTGGGGAATGGGGAGTTACTAGTTAATGGAGTTTCAACTCAGGAAGATGAAGAGTTCTGTAGACAGATGTTGGTGATGGTCACACAACATCACACGAATGAGTCTAATGATAGCAGACTATGCATTAGAAATGATAAATTTTGTTTTATTTATTACCATAATTTAAAAAAATCACTACTGCCAGCTTCAAAAAGTGCAATAATTTTTTTTAAAGGGGAGGGAATAGGTGTTCAGGGCAGCAGTTAAGGCATCAGCTGGGATACCCACATCCCATTTGTGCCTGGTTTGAGTCCTGACTCCTCCACTTTTGATTCCAGCTTTCTGCTAATGTGTACCCTCAGAGACAGCAGTATAGGGGTTCCCTGCCACCCAGGCAGGAGACCAGATGGAGTTCCAGGCTCCTGGCTTCAGCCTGGACCAGAACTGGCTGTTGTGGATATTCACAGATTAAAGTCAGCAGATGGAAGATTTCTGTCTTTGTCTCTCTGCCTTTCAAATGAAATGATGAAAATAAGGGAAAATTTTAAAGTAGAACAAACTCATAAACAGTAATTCTAAGATGTGGATTCTTCATTCTGCCCCCAGGTAACTTCAAGACTCTGGCAAGTTCTTTAACTACTCAAGGTGCTACTTGGCTAACAGGTTTGCTCTGAAGAGCAAATGAGAACACACAAGAAAGATCTCAAGAGAACTTGAGATAAAGCTTGGATAAAGCTCTGTATCCAAACGTGAGATTCTACGGTGATTAACAGTAAATCTGTGAACAGGTGCCAGAGATTGGGGGTAGGGCGGCGAGAGGAGGACCAAGGAGCATGAAGCAATCCCCTTACCTCCTGCACAAGTGGCTGCTGGAACAATGGAATGAGAGGATTCGTCCTCGGAATGTCAATGTGAATCTGAAAAAGAGAAGCCGTGTCCAAACACACAAATGCCAGTCTGTTCTTTCGGCAGTTATTTTCTTAAGAAATTAGGACCAAATGTGTAAGAGTTACAGCATAATTTTATGTTTAGTAAGAACTGACTGACACAGAAAAAAGTCTGCATAAGTGTGTTTTCAGATATCAACAGCTTGTCAAACAGTGAGAAAACAATTTCCTGTCATCAACCACTTAAGCCAAACAGGAACAGGCTTCATGAACTATGAAAACCAACTGCTTTGTCTGTGGCTCTGGGCTGGCATTTCTTTGACAGGTGTAGTCGAGTATATACCCTCTTTCAGAATCTTATTCCTTAACACTTCTCAAGAACTAAAATTACTCTGACAACCAGAAATGTGCCAGGAGAGGGAACCGGAAGAGGACCTGCTGTTATCAAGGAGGTCCCTCTGTTTGGTTCACTGGGAAAGAGGTGTTTTTAGTCCTCGGAGCTGTTGGGGATAGCTGCCCACTCCCACCATCTGGGCTGCTGCTCCCTCCCCCTGCAACAGGCAGTAGACTCTGCAGCATGGGCACTGATGGGAAGACTCTCTGGCACAGATACTGGCAGCTGTGCTTCCTACATGCAAACATAGGTGCTAAAGACGCACAGTGGCTGCCAGGACACACTGATGTTCTGATCCTGAAAGACCAGACCACTCCTGAGTGAACTCAGCCTTCTCACAGGACTGCTACTCCTCACAGTGTGGCCTGCCCTGGCAGTGTGTTACCAGTGAGCTGGTTAAGAACAGGCCTCATCCCAGATCTCCTGAATCAGAATCTGCCTTTTTTCATAATCCCTAGGAGATGTTTTTAATCAACATCTGAGATATCACATTGTTTGAGAAACACACTGATGAGTGACCAAAAAGTCCATTGACAATGGCTAAAATAGGAGATTATGAATGAAAAGAGAAGCAGAAAAGAGAGAAATATACTGAATTCCTAGCCAGCACGTCACAGCCTGAAGACCTGCAGCCTGATGGCACCATCAGGAGACACAGCAAGAGGCAAAGAGGTGGCAGGTGGCAACTGTACCTGTCTGTAGGTATCCTGGTGATGCTCCTCATTCCGAGAGTCATAATACTGCTCGATGAAGCCAAAATACTCCTCCCGCTTCCGCTGCAGCGTCAGCTTCCTCCTCTCTGTGTTTGCAGGGAGATAGCCCTGGGGATGAGACTGCTAGTCAGAGCAGAACAGACACTGGTTGCGTGAATCCTTGGTTTTTAATTTTAGCCTTGGAAGCTATCAAAGGAACAGAAGGAAAACTGCCAGTGGACAAGGGTAAATCCCTTGTTTTGGCTGCCCCGTGCTTGCCCTCTGCTTGTTCAATGAGAGCCACATGTGGGCAGAAGAAGCCAGGCCAGCTTTCCCAGGGTTGTTTACTCCTCTGGCGTGGCACTGCCTTGGAGCTCACACTGTCACTGAGCCTCTACAGCTCCTGGAGTTGGCACAGTGAGTGCTGAAATGTAGGTCAGCGGGAGGGGACAGGACACTGGTCACAGCCTCTGAGGCCTGGATGTGTGCTGGGCCATACTTCTGAGAAGCCCAGCGATCCAGCCACCTCCAGGGCGCATCTCAGTGGTGTGCCAAGTAAGCTGGTGCCAGCTACTTATTCTTTCTGTGTTACATTCAGAAATACGCGGCCCAGACAGAACTTCTGGCAGCAGCCACTGCTGGCCACAACTCCAGGCCAACTTTCATTCTTATCCCTGGTCTAGATGCCACTCGCATTCTTACACCCCCTGTTTCCCTTCTGTTCATACCAAATCTACCCTGACTAGCATTGAAGCTTACTAGAAGGGGCAGAGGCAATAGCAACAAGGTCGTAGGGCCAGGGGTGGAGAGCACAGCCAGCAGACAGTTAGTTAGGCGAGACATTCCACAGGGAATGGGGACTGTAGTTTAAGCTCATAGCAACTGAAACTGTGTTTGCAAACAGCAGCCCTTCCACAAAGGAATGAATTTCACAGGCTCAGAAAATCTATGCTTTCCTATCGCAAAGGCCGCTACAGGGCTCTGCCCTCGAGGAAAGCAGGACTCACAGTGAGGCTCTCAAAGAAGGTCCACCAAACCTCTCCTCAGTTACAAAGTGGATTTCAATGCCTTTGGTCATTGCTACTGGAAAAGGAGTGAGGCATAGGTAATGCAGGGGCATGCTCAAAACAAGCACTGGGATGGCCCTGTCTTACCTCCTCTTCACTGTTGCGCATGTGAGACGGTGACTACGGAAGCAAGCTTGTGCTTGTCTTCCACATGTGTGGGAGTTAGAATACCTTCCTGCTCCACATAGTGGACATAAACTCTAAAGGGTGTTTCTGTATGCACAGAAATAGGACTAGGGTTCCTCCGTCTGTCACATCCAACAGGACCAGAGGGGTCCAAGAGGAAGCCCCATGTGTCCAGACTAACCTCATCAGGCAAGAAGGGCCGCATGAGGCTCATGCCCCTCTATGCGGCAGGCAGAACTCACCGACAGGAGTCTCCAGGTTACAGGCCGCACCTCCCTGGGAACCCCTGGCCAGCTACACTTCCTCAGTTCATCTGCAAACAGAAAACAGCCGAATTGGATCAGCTCCTCCCACCAGTGTCCTAAAATATTCTTCAACCGGTACTGCCTGATCCCTCCTATCAGTCAAGTAAAACCACCGCCACCACCACACCACTGCCACACCACTGCCTGCTACTGACAAGCACAGGGGAAAGCTGCAACAGGCCTGAGCAGCAAAGTGCCAAGGACACAGCCCTGCGGTAGCGACTCGGTCAGCTCAGATGGGAGAGTTAGGGGAGAAGAGAAAGACCCACGGGTTTCAGGACGAGTCACCTGCAGGTGGGAAACCAAAGCCAGATGGATGCACTACAGTCTACAAGGCCACAGAGACCAGCCCGGCTACTCAGTCCCCTGATCTCTAGTAGTATGTTTCTGACTGAATACCTGCATGTCACTGCAATGGGCACCAGATCAGGAGATGCTAAAAAAGTAAAAGAAGGCAGAATAAAGAGCAGTAGCTTCCGGGTCTCTGAGAATTCCAGTCACCAAGCGTATCTACCTTGCTCAGGGCTCCCGAGGACTCACCTAAGTCAGTGTTGTGGCTGGAGAGAAGCTGGCGGAACTTTTCCAGACGGGTTTTCTCACGGACTGTCATTGGCGGGGCCCCAGAAGCGTTCTGGTCTGAGATGCGGGCAACGAGGGGAATGATGGGTCGGAGAGGGAGTGACTGCTGTTTGTGGAGTGGGTTCCTTAGGCACGTGTCACCTTGAGATCATGTGAGAGAAAAGAGCAGGGATTTTAAGCAACAATAAACCCCCAGTTCAGGGTGGTGTTTGCCCCAGAGCAGCTGCCAACAGCATGATCCCACTCATTTATCCCAGACCAAGGCATCTCAGGTAACAGACCCTCCTGAGCCATGGCAACCCTCAGGACTTTTGGGGGAGATCCCTAAACAGAAGCACAAGTTTTCTTTCCATTCCAACCTGAAGCTTTCTCAGTGCCTAACAGTGACTGCAAGGGCAGGGCAGCTGAAAGTGTTTTTCCTTCCTTTCCCCAATCCAGCAGCGTGTGAGAGGTGACACTGCTCTCACACAATAAAAGGAGGTGGCACCGGTCAGGCTTGACGGACCCCAGGCCCCACTCAGCGGCTGCCCCAAGGGCTGAGAGGCTCTGCACTCTGCAACTCAGATATGTGCCTGGCCTACTAGCATGCCCTGCATTCTGCACAAGCAGTCATGGGTAGCTGCAGATGCCCAGCGCTCTTGCCCTTCCCACCAAAATGAACCAGATTTCAATTCTGCTGGTACATAGCTAAAAACACAGGAATGCTGACTCAAGCTGCACTTGAAGTCTGGTTCTAGAGGTTTCAGACGAGAAAGCTGCAGCTCAGTGAAGCTAACTAGTGCGCCAATGACAGCTGAGATGCTATCTCAAGTATGTCTGACTCCAAAACCCTTATTTATTGTACTACTCCCAAAGAAAGGGTCAGTTCCCAGTTATCACTATCCTTTCAGGAGTATTTCAAATTTGTACCAAGCCTAAGCCTTAAAAAGTAGTAGTCACAACAACAACAACAAATGAAACAGTGGATATAGATCCACCAGCACTACAAGGTTTGCTGGGTACTGGGATGGGATGCCAAATACAGTAATGGGGCCTAGAGAATGCAGGCCACATCTGGCCAAGAGGAGACAGACTGCATCTCTGCTGTTAGCCACGATCAGATGGACGCACACAGGATGGAACCTCCCCGGGGAATGCACTGCAGTCCTGGCTGGACAGGGCAATTCCTTAGGAGTAGCTGCTCAGGCACAGTGCAGGGAGCCTTCCCCAGACAGGAGGACCCTGATCACAGTGCACATTTTCTACAGTCAGTGGCTGGGGCCACCCAGTCTGTTGTGCCTGGTGCTGAAGCCTCAAGGTAGGGCCTGATTCAGTGATGGAAACTGACCGTGGAGTGACTGTAGACTTCACAGCCTAATTGCATAACCACACACTTAGTCTGACTGTGTAAAAGGAACTGTCTTAGGGGGTGAGCCAGGACACACTCCAGGGCTCTGATATCCTTCCGTTTCATCCTGAGCACTGGGCTGTTTTAATTCTCACTACAATGACAGCACTTCCCTCACCAGCTCGGAATAATCAACTTCCATAAAACCCTTTAGGGCAACACGAAATGCAGCATTGCGGTCTTAAAAGAGTACACCGAGAGTTCTCAAGCATCTTGTAAAACCGTCCTCAACTCAGCCTTCACAGAGGATAGTTTCCTGGAAAGAATCAGAACAGGCCTCTCCTCCCAACCTGATGAGCACACCCCAGGCAGAACAATCACTAGCATCAAGTGGTTTTTCCTGTTCCTGAGGGAGGAAGCCACACATGCCCAAAGGCACCAGGCCACTGTTCTCAAGGATGAAGGAGTCAATCAACAATGCCAAACACCTGTGAAATTCAACCCCACCCCCCCTACAACCTGAGACAGATACTTATACCCTTGACCAGGCTAACACCATATACAGCAGTCAGTTCACAAAGCCCTGGGTGCCCTCCACAGCAAAAGGGGAAGAGAGAGGAGAAGGGCAGGCAGTGTTTGAGCATCAGTAAATGAAGCCCCAGGTCAAGGGCTGGGCAGCCACCTAGATGAGAGACGAGGGCAGCTTGTGACCAGCTTGTTGATGTCGTACCTCAGGCTTGAGCTTGCTTATTTATCCTCCAATGGAAGATCTGAGTGATGCCCTAAGGAAAAAACACTTTTCTCTCCTATGCGCTCTTAGAAGATCCAGGCTATGGAAATGCTGAGTGGACTTACTGGAGTTTCTGGACAGTTGGGCATCGCTGCTGGACTTGATGACCTTGTAGTTAACGGAAGCCTCAGATGTCGTGGACTGCGACCGTTCTGGTTTTACTCTCAGCTTGCTGTGATTTTCTAGGACTTGGGCTGCGGTTGCCAAAGCAACTTTTGAGTTTAGAGTTTGGAAGGAAGGTGAGGAAAAGTCCTCTTCCTCATCGTCGCCAATGTCCCAAGCATCACTGGTATTCCGGGCAAACTCATGAAAACTGGAGGCCTTCTTATTCTTCAGAGGAACTGCGTTGACTTTTGACCGTTCTTTAATGAAGCTTCAAAAAAGGAGACACCATTAGCAAGGAGTGGCCAACAAGTCTGACCACCGGCAACTCGCTTAATATTTTCACGTTAATAACTTTACAAAGTGTTCCCTATACAGCCGTTATTGACTTTAACCCAAACTTTCCTGGATGCAGCCAGAGCAGCCACAAACAGCAGTGACAGTTGCGGCAGAGATGACCGTCACCAAGTATCATCCCTTGTGCTCCTCTCCCTCCATCAGCCCTGCCCCACTGGTGCATTTGGCCAAGGCAGTGTGACACACTGTGGTCAGTGGGATCATGAGAAGGAAGGTAATCACTTCCAGGCCAAAGGACCAAAGCACAGCTATGAGTCCTTCTGGAACCTCTCCTCTCCTGTGCTGACCAGCAAGGTTCCAGTTCCAGATGGCAGCACCTCCCTTAGTCTCAGACACGGAGCACAGCCTGTTGGCCACCTTTACCCCACCACATTGTGGATGGGTAGCATACACAACAAATAAACCACCAGTGTGTGAATCCACTGAGATTCCAGTAGATTTGTTATGGCAACATAACCAACTACTGGCAGGACAGAGTCAGCTTTAGGTGGTAAGTACAAAGAAAACTGCTCCCTTTTTATTCTGTTAAAGTCCTTCTGCTAGCCTGAAGGAGACAGCCTAAGTCTGGCACTGCTCTGCCTTTACAACTTGATTTTTTTTTTTTTTAACAAAGTAAAGGAAGCCTCAGAATGAACATTTTTGAAAGTAGCAGGATCTGGCTTTGAACTGAGTAAGAACATTTTGTTTTTCTGCTTTTTTGGAAAGGCGGATATACAAAGAGGAGGAGAGACAGAGAGGAAGATCTTTTGTCTGATGGTTTATTCCCTAAGTGACCGCAATGGCTAGAGTTCAGCCAATCAGAAGCCAGGAGCCAGGAGTTCTTCTGGGTCTCCCACGCGGGCGCAGGGTCCCAAGGCTTTGGGCTGTCCTCGACTGCTTTCTCAGGCCACAAGCAGGGAGCTGGATGGGAAGCAGAGGTGCCGGGATTAGAATCGGCACCCATATGGGATCCCGGCGCATTCAAGGTGAGGACTTTAACTGCTATGCTATCGCACCAGTCCCTTTTCTGTTTATTTTTAAGGTTACTTTGCATTTATGGCAAATGATAATGGTTCTCCACTGACAGAATTACATCTAAGTATCTGTAAAAACACATTTGCTAAATAGAGAAAATGGCAGTCACAGAAATGGTGCATGACTGACATATAGCAAGCTGTAGATTACCCTTCTGAGGAAAGAGGGCCCCAACGCCATAGAAACAACTCCCAAGTCCCACCCGCCCTTAGAGCTCAGGGAACTTGACGAAGCTCCAGGGGACTATCTGGCTTGGACATGTCCAACTCAGTCTTGTTTAGCATGCCTCAGACCCCAGCCAAGAAACAGAGGGTGTAACTGTGGATAGGTTCACAGTATCAGAGGACTTGAACGCCACAGGGTGAGAACTTCATTTACACACTCACTTTCTTCCCTCTGTAAAGGTAAGAGGATGCTAAAGTGAGAACCGAGCAGTGCCAGGAGAGCTTCAGTCCGCACTGCTGAGAGGTGTCTCCTCCCTGGGAGAGGACGGGGGTCTGCTAAGCTGTCCTGACTCCAGGGGTGAGTCCTGCACGTACTGTAAATGATACACACTGACTTTCACAGTCTGCTAACACATACAGCTCACCAGAATGCCCACTGCAAACTCCCACGAGGGTGAGTACTACAGGGGCACTGGTTTTTTTTTTGTTGTTGTTGTTGTTTTTAATTGGAAAAGGTAGATTTACAGAAAGAAGGAGATACAGAGAGAAACATCTTTCATCTGCTGTTCACACTCCCCAGATGGCCGCAACGACGAGAGCTGAACTAATCCAAAGCCAGAAGCCAGGAGTCAGGAGCTTCTTCTGGGTCTCCCCTGTGCATGTAGGGCCCCAAGGTTTTGGGCCATCCTCTACTGCTTTCCTAGGCCACAAGCAGGGAGCTGGATGGGAAGTGGAGCAGCTGGGATTAGAACTAGTACTCATACGGGATCCTGGCACTTGCAAGGGGAGGATTAGCCATTGCACTCAGCCTGGGACACTGTTTCCACACAAGATTGGAAGGGTAAAGGAAAACATACCAGACACAATATGAAAGAGTACAGGACTGCAAGGATGAAACAGTTCAAATATGGTGGGAACAAGGTATCATTTCCCACCCAATAGATTAATAAAGCTTTGGAGGCCAGCACAGTAGCATAGCACCCTAATTCTTCACCTGAGATGCCAGTATCAAATGTGGCAAGTCCTGGATACTTCACTTCCGATCCAACTCCCTGACTGAGTCCTGGGAAAGCAGCAGAGGATGGCGCAGTCCTTGTGTCCCTGCATTCACATAAGAGTCCTGGGAGAGAAGCTCTTGACTCCCAACTTTGGATTGGCCAAATTCCAGCACTGAGGCTACTGGGGAAGTGAACCAGAGGATTCCTTCCTCTTATCTCTCCATCTCTCTCTGTAACACTGCCTTTCTAACAAAAATAAATTAGCAATAATTTAAATAAAAACTTGTTTTCTTTAGCAACAGAGATACGTGTTGTATAGCCCTCTGGATAACAATCTGGCAACACCCATATGGGCCTTAATACTGCTCACAATTTCTGACCATAAGAAAACAGAGATCAGTTCATACCAAAGCTGCTGCTTGTTTTGGTTTAAAAATAGCAAACATAAACCTCTATGAATTAAAAGTGATTAAATATGTAAGTTTTGGTTTAGCTATCAGATGCAATATGAGGCTACTTAACAACACCAGAAAATGATCTCAATAAAGTGAAAGCAGCAGTCAAAATTATATGCTTCTTATAATGATTGTATTAAAAATTACATTCATAGAAAAGACCAGAAAAATGTATCAGAATGTTAACTGTGCTTATCTGTAAGCTATGAAATTTTATAGGTGATATGTAATTTCATTTTTATACATCTCTGAATCGGATCATACGAGCATATTACTTTTATTAATCAGCAGCACAGGTTATTCAGCTGGTCTTTATCAACTTGCAGAGTAAGAGTACTTGTAAACCTATTGAAAGAGCAATCAGAAGTGAATGAGCAACCAAATCAAAGAAAATGAAGGGGCGGCAGTGCAATGCTAATACCTGCATGGAGGAGGATCCACCCACGGCCCAAAAGCCAAACTGCTCCCCTGCAGACATGCACACAGGCTGCACGCCGTGAACTCCACTAGGACTGCTTCTCCTCTGTGGAAGGGGGCCCAGGTTCCACCACATGCAGAGCCAATCAGGGGATTCAGTGTCAAGAACAAATGGGCAGATGTGTAAGAAAGACCTGTCACCTACAAAACAATGTACAGGAGTTTGTGGTTGTCCTTTCTGTTTTCATCCTTGGAAGCCACCTGTATAAGAAGGCTGAAAGTCTGGAGGATTCTTTAAATAAACTATCAAATGAAAAAGATAAATTCTAACTCGGGTTGGAGTTGCCTGGTTGAGCACTGGATGATAAGTCACTGCAGCAAGAGACAGGGCACATTTGAAAATAAAATAACACACATCCAACTCAACCTAAGCTTTTAATCTTTCACCTAAAAGATGTAAGACAGACCACTTTGAGGCTGTTGGAAATAATGTTAGGGACACTTAGCCTACAATAGCCCAAACCCAACCAATTCAGAAGTCAGCTCTGTCTTAAGGGATGAGGGCCTGTGGATGAGATTGGGATCACTCAGGAAAGGGCAGAAGTGCGAGGATGAAGCAACGTCAGTGAGAATCTCATACAAGCAACGAGTGAAAAGGTACTGAGGGCTGCCAGTGAGAGGGCAGGAGGTCCACTGACCAAGAACAATGATGGGCAGGTTTAAGGCTCTGAAGAATTTTCATGTTAAGGTTTAAGGGCTGACAGTTACTGGCCACTCACCAAGAACACAGAGCTGATAGGAATTCTCACAGGAAAAACCGTATACTCAGAATGGACCACGTGAGTCAGATCTAGCAGGGGGTTCTTGGGTGAGAACTGTCCCCTCTCTTTGACTCAAGGAGTTGCAGTAAAAAGCTAACCCAGGTTGTCCTAGCTGTGGGGTAGCTTGGGTTTATGGGCTGTCTCCTTTAAACCAATTCATACCTAACCCAAGTACAAGAATGTCACCTGTGGCTTGAAGTTTAACTAAGGTTATTTAAACATAACCACGTCAAAGCTACAAGCCAACTGGCCTCTGATGACCACTTTCACCACACGTCCTTCACCTGTATGCTAATTACAATTTAGACAGCACTGACACAAACATCTTGGGTAAATATCACAACAGTTCTGTGAGGTGAGTCTTATATTTTATGAAGAATTTAAGGCTCAGAGATGTTAAGCAACTTGTCTGAGATTATGGAGCTAATAAGGGGCAGAGAAAAGGGATTCAAGAAGTACAGGGAATAGGTCAGCATTGTAGTGTGGTGGGTTAGGCCACAACCTGTGATGTAAATAAAACTCATAATGGAGTGTTGGATATAGTCCCAGCTGCTTCACTTCTGATCCAGCTCCATTGCTGCATCTGGGAAAGCAACAGATGATGGGTCAAGTGCTTGGTCCCTGCCACACATGTGGGAGACTCAGAAGGAGTTACTGGCTCCTGGCTGCTGAATAAATAAATCTTTTTTAAAAAGATTTATTGGGGGCCCGGCGCGGTGGCGCAGTGGTTAAGGTCCTCGCCTTGAACGCGCCCGGGATCCCATATGGGCGCCGGTTCTAATCCCGGCAGCCCCGCTTCCCTTCCAGCTCCCTGCCTGTGGCCTGGGAAAGCAGTCGAGGATGGCCCAAGGCTTTGGGACCCTGCACCTGCGTGGGAGACCCGGAAGAGGCTCCTGGCTTCGGATCGGCATAGTATCGGCCTGTTGCGCTCACTTGGGGAGTGAATCATCGGACGGAAGATCTTCCTCTCTGTCTCTCCTCTCTGTATATCCGCCTTTCCAATAAAAAATAATAAAAAATAAATCTTAAAAAAAAAAAAAGATTT